CTAGCGAGTTCGGGGAGAGCTTGGAGCTCCGGTTCTGACTTTGCCGGATTAGAGTGTCCTCAGCGGACCTCTTCACACCGTGGAGCGTCCTTCTCCTAAGTTGCAAAATGGAACAGCTGGGACCGGTGCCCAGGGCCCTGGGTCTCCCTTGTGGAGGCTTTTTAATCTTTTGAGATCAGTTCTGGAATTCCCACGTGAGATGGGAAAACTTGAGGTTTGCACACTTGGCCAGGGTCTGAAAGAGCTCAAAACCCCAAAACCAAACCCGGTGTCGTCGAGTTATTCTGACCCATAGCGACCCTGTAGGACAGAGTAGAAGTGCCCCGTAGGGTTTCCAAGGAGCGCCTGGTGGATCCGAACTGCTGACCTTTTGCTTAGCAGCCTGAGCTCTTAACCACTGCGCCACCACGGCCCCTGAAAGTGCTCAGGGTTCCCCAGTTTCAATGCGGTGACCCTCAGGCTGCCCAGCGTGCAAGGAGCGCGGTGAGGGCTCTGGCAGACGGAGCACTACTGCCCTCAGCTCGGATAAACGGCCACGTCAGCGTGAGAACCAGGGTTTGTAACTGTACGTGGCGCTTCGGAATGGCCTGCATTTAGCATACTAATACCCTGCTGGATGGAATTTGAAGTGTGAGCTATGATTTCGTAGCGTCGGAATTTTCATTTTAGAAGCAGCAGAAATCTCATCTGGATTGGTAATAGAGAAGTTCATGCTTTTCCTCAAATACTGGAAACTGTGGAAGTTCCACACCGTATTTTTACCAGCTGCCCCACTTGTGAAGATCCTCAGATACTGTATTGGATTCCCAAACCTTGACTGTATTTTACCAGGCTCAGTTATAATTCATTCAGCAGGTTTTTGTAACTGGGTGGTAATGTTTTGTGTCCTCCCCGCCCCCTTTTATTTTGTCTTAATTCAGGGCTCTATTGGCGAATCTGGCACATGGATCTTATTCAGTCTGCGGTTCTGTATAGCGTGATGACCCTCGTAAGCACCTACTTGGTAGCCTTTGCGTACAAGAATGTGAAATTTGTTCTCAAGCACAAGTAAGTATGTTTCTCAAGTGAGTATGCATCGTATACTGCATTCTTATACAGTAGGGTGTCTTAAAGATCGTGTGTGTGTGTGTGCGTGCGTGCGTGTTTCACTAAGTGTTCATTTTAGAGAGAGATGTATATATTTTCAAGGCGCTGTTAACGCTAGGAAGAGTTATTGGCTAGCTGAAGCAGGGTGATCAGGCTAACACTGCTGTAGAAGTCTGTTTTGAGGGTAGAATTAGCACTGTCCCAAATCATGGGGTTTATCAGGAAAACAAACCCACCAAGTAAACTAACATTTGAAAGCCAAAATGGCATTGTTTCTGGAAAGAGTTATTCTGAGCTCTCTTATGTACCATTTTTTGGAAGTGAAAGAAGTGGTTTTTTTTTTTTAATCAAGTCCACTGACATTTCAGTTCTAATTTTTTTCACACAAGTGTATAAAAATGTAAAGGATTACCATATTTCCTCTATTCTAAGACCCTGCGTATTATAAAATACATCATTTTAACAACAGCTCTTGGGGAAGAAAATCCAAGCCTCACCACAATGAATTCATACATTAGTTATAAGCATTATATACTCTGGATTCACAAAGGTTAAAATGTGAAGAAAAAAGTCTCAACTTAAGGAAAAATGGTAACATTATTTTAGAGTGCCATAATCCTCATGGGAATCAGCTGTAAATTTATGTTTAATTGGAACAGGCCCTCTGAAGTTGCTTTCGTACACTTTTTCTGTTACTTGATTCAGGATAACAGGTGTTTCTCTGCTTCCTCAGTGTGGCGGTGTATTTTCTGTGAAAG